GAATGTGGAGAGTTGACTTCCATAAGTGCCTCCTGTCTGTGGGCAGCTTCTTATTCTTCCAGGCCAAGGAAGGAACCTAGTGGGCACTTTTCCTGGAACCTTTTAGGCAATTTTTGGCTTCATTTCCCACCCTTCAGGATTGGTAGATGCTTCCCAAGAAGGTTACTTGGTTTCTCAGAGACCAAATATGCCAGCAGTATTGTTGGGCTTTTTGAGACACTGCTATAGGGGTTCCACTCATGTCCTCAAATGCAAGGAGTCATTTTTGGTGACATGAAGACAAAGAGACCAGAGCAGTGGTGGATTGTCTTATATGGGAGGAATCAAGGCTTTTTCAACCTTAAGTGATAGAAACCCAATTCAGACGGGCCAAAAAGAAGTTTATTGGTCCATGTAACCGAAACATTTTCAGGCTGGGGAGGGGCTTCAGGCTTGCTGTTTCCAGGTCTTCAATTGTGAACAGGTCTCCATTTTTTTCACCTAATTTGTTGATTCTGCCTTTATCTCTGCTACTAGCTTCATTCTAAAGCAGGCTGTCACTGAGAAGTAGCAGAAGTGGCAATCAGTAACATTAGGAGATGTGTAATCTGAGCAACCTAACCAAGAACTTATTTCCCCCAGTAGTTCCAGCAAAAGTTGAGAGGACTTTCCTTGTCTCCACTTTATTCTATGTCTCCTCCTAGATTCAAGAAAGGCAGTTAATTCTCCAAAGGAAACTTAAGGGGTTGGTACTAGAAGGTGAGAATGGATATTTGACAGTCAAATCCACCAAAATCTACCACAGTAAGATGCCTCTTTCCCAGCCCATCTCACCAGCCAGGTCTTCCTTTCTCACTGTAACTGTCTCTTTGATGGAAGAAGGCCATTCGGTCCTTTCCATTTATCATCAAGACCAAATACCCAGCATCTTTCTTTCCAGAGCATAGGAACCCTCCCTTTAGGGCTGATTTTTACTTTTTTTTAATAGTACAGTCTTAAAACTGACCGTTAACCTAAAGCCCCAGTGTTTGCTGAGGACTGTCTGACCTAGGCACTAGATCCTTTTTTCAGTCATGTTTCCTGAACAGAGAGGGTGGCTTGAAAGTGTGAACCAGAGAGGCCTGAGGGAGGGATAATTATCATACTTCTGGTCTTTTCCCAGTGTATGTCTATATTGTTAAAGGACCACAGGCCACAGGCTTTGTTTGTTCTGTATAGTGGCTATTTTAATGTGAATTAATTCCCAACACTTAAAAATAGGGGGATCTTATTTAAAATTCCAGATTTTTGTCTCCTCTTTAAGAAAAAAAATCTTCTAACAGCAGCAGACCTACATTCCCACGTGGCAGCAGTTGATTAGAGCTAAATTGTGACTTCTCCCTTTAGACAGGGTATGTGGTTTCTAGCTCATCATAATCTTCACCAGCCTGCTATTTAAAACCTGGCCTTGTAAAACATCATGTTTGAGACCCTGCTCTGTCCCAAGGCTTTCTGCTAGCATTTGACTTGGGGAAACAAGCTAGATTAATGTTTAGTCAACAATTTATTTGGGGGAGATGGTGCTGTTACTTAGGAAAAGTAACAACTTAATAAAAAGAGTTTATGGAAAAGAGTGTGCACAACTTTGGTCCGTTTGTGGGTTTGGTCATCCTTTGCAGTAAACGCTGTTGGCATATCAAACCTCCCGTCACAGATGTTCCCTCTGAAATAGTAACATGTCCTTCTATCTTACCAGTTGCCACCCAGTGAAGGAATCCTTCCCAGTCCCAAGGGATGTTCTTTCAGCCTCCACTTGACCACTTCCAGCAGCCAGAGAGCTTATTACTTCCTCATATGGCAGCCAGTTTCATTCTTGGACAGACACATTATTTTAAAATTTTTCCTTATGTTGAGGCTGCTGCTGTCTCCTTGGGACTAAAAGCCACAAAATGCTGGGACTGGGAAGGGAAACAGATTTTTTTTCACTTCTTGTGAGCTATCATTTACCCATCCTGCATCCAGGGAAACTGATAATCAGTCATACTACTCTTTCTCACTGAGCCAGAAAGTAGAATGTACCTTTAAACATTTTTTTTTTTAAGATTTTATTTATTTATCTTTAGAGGGGAAGGGAAGGAGAGAGGGAGAGAAACATCATGCATTCCCTGCTGGGAACTGGCCTGCAGAGAACTGGCCTGCAACCCTGGTATGTGCCCTGACTGGGAATCGAACTGCGATTGTCTGGTTCGCAGGCCCGCGCTCAATCCACTGAGCTACACCAGCCAGGGTTAAACATTTTTTAATTCCTCTAAAATTTATAGATGTGTTCAACTTATAACTGTGAAGTAGTAAAAAAATATGTAAAGAGTATTAGTAATTGCTCCTTCTCTCCCAGGTAATCAATGTGAACAGCCTTAGGGTATATCCTTCATACATTTCACTATATACACATATACATATGTGTAAATATATTCAGATGTAAATGGTTTTCGTACATGACTTCTTTTCTTTTTACAAAAATGACATCACATTGTACATATTACTGTGCAGCTTATGGATATCCTCCAGGTCACTGAAGATCAAATACTATATTAGAGATTAAGATATTTTTTTAAAATTCTAACAGGATCAATCATGTTTTTAATAGCTAAATAATAGCCCATTCTTAGAGATGTGCCCCTGTTTATTATATTATTCACCATTGCTTCATGTCTTCAGGATCCTTTTAACTACAGTACTCCAGGCTGCCGCTACCAGTCAGTTGGAATTAGCCTGAGAAATAAAACCCATTTTTCATGTGTGATCCAATCTAGCTACTTACCTCACACATTCTAGAGAAGAGAAGCAGTTGGGCTCAAAGATGAAAGTGAATCCGTGGCTGGGGCAAACTACAACTCAATTTTCTTGACTTTCAACATTTCCTGTGTCCCATGTTGCCTCTCAGGTAGAGCTGTCCGTCCAGGTTCTTCTCTGGAGTAACTTAATAAATCTAATTCCTCTTCTGTGTGATACTCCTTCAGATAGTCAAAGTCAGTTATGCAGTTGCTCCTGAGTCTTCTCTTCCCCAGAAGAAATTTCTTCAGTGCCTTCAAATGTTTCTCTTAGGATTTTCAAATCCCTTTGCCATCCTATGATCCACTTTTCTGTCTTCTCCCCCAGGGCTGTAGAAATCCCAAGTGTGATTTTCATACTCACCTTTTTTATTCATTCATTCATTCATGAACACATATAATGGCACCTTCTGTGTGCCTGTCATTGTTCTAGACAGTGACAGCAGTATAGCTTGTATTTTGGTGGGAAGAGAAAAACAACAAACAGAAATAAGTGATATTTGAGGGTGTTGAACTAGATAGAAATGGAATACTGTTAACAGAGTGACTAAGAGCGAGACTCCTTAGATTGGTCAGGGAAGATCTCTCCAAGGAATTGACATGGAGTTGAGACCTAAGTGACAAGCAGGAGCCAGCCATAGGTCTGGGGCAAGAGGATTCCATTAAATAAGAAAGGACTAGGTACAAGATGAGGTTAGAGAGGCCACAGGAGTGTTGCAGTGTTCTGTAGGACAAGATAAGTTCAGGTTTAGTGTAGATTTTGTTTAAGTACAATGGGAAGTCATTGGAGGATTTTAAACTGGGGAGGCAGCATTTGATTTCCCTTTTGGACAGATTTCTGGAAGGCCTGTTTAACTTGGAGCAAGGTTTCATTTTTCCTCCACACTCACTTCCTAAATCCAAAGGGACTGAGAGTCAAGCCGGTTTACTCTGTTCAGGTGTCCCACCAGGGCTTAGTGAGGTTAGTCACAGCCATTGTCAAGTGTACCTCACAGCCCTTCTCAGCAGGAGCATGGAATTTCAAGGAGATAGCAGTACCTTCCTAAGACCTAAGAGGTTCAATGGGTCTTTGTATGGAGTTCTCAATCCTCTTGGCAGCCAGAGGAGGATAGAGCTGAATGTGTTATGGGGATGGAGCCAAGGGCACTGGTTGCAGGAAAGACAGGAAATGTGATTGGAGACCTAGAGCTGGAGACACTTAGAAAAAGGTTTTAGAGTAGTGTCCAGAAACCAGTCAACTGAAGAATAGGCCTGTTGTCTGCCCAGTTGACGTAGCTTCTCTGTAGTTCCTGCAAGAGAAGAATTTGGACACTTTTCTTGCTTGAGAGTTTTTGACTTCTAATGTGTCCCCCTTGTCCTCAGGTTGGCATTCTCTTGGCTCTTGGGTGTCTCTAGATTACAACCTTGGATCTCTGGAAGCCAAGGGGACTTCTCAACCCAGAAGACTTGGGTCAAGATTAGTCTTCAGAGGAATGAAGAAGAGGACTGGGAGAGATTCACCTCAAAGTAGAGATTGATGGGATCTTAGACATTATAGCTGCACCTTTTCTAGAGTGGGTGAGCTACATTGGAGGAGGTGAGATCCCTCCAGCCTATTGGAGATCTCCGAAGAGGCCTCTGTCCACCCAGACAATTACTCATCAGAGAGCTATCCACATACCTGAGATCTCTGCTAGGGTTACCACCTCATCACCCACCCATATTAAGTTAACTTTGTGAGTCTTAGCTTAAAATGATATAAAAAGTCCATAGGGTCTGTTTAGCAGGTGATCAATCACTTTGTTTAGCTCTCAGTAGGTAGCCAGAGATCACTAAGGTCAGGGCATGTGCTTGCGGTCATATGCCTGCTTAGTCAAGTAACCTGGGGCCAGGTTTCCATTAATTCAGATCCTTTTCCTATAATGTGCAGCCTTTCCTATTTCCCATTTCTGGAAAATCTTACCAATCTACTCTCTGCCTTAAATCCATATCCTTTGGCCCTGTGATAGCCAGGCCTGAGGGGCAGCATCTTTTCCTTTGTCTAGTGTAGGTCTCTCTCTGAATCTGAAGATTGGAGGGAGAATTGGTTTCGTATCTGTTCTCCCAGGAGTGCTGCAGAGTGAATATCCTGAAAGAGGAAGACATGAGGCCTCCTCCTCCTCCCCCCCCCGCCCAGTACCAGGTCAGTTCTGGCCCCTTCATTCTATCTGACCCCCTTGCTTCCTTTTTCAGGAGCCTGGAGAGGCGTGGCTGGACCAAGACCTCCCCCGATGTGAGCAGGTTTCGTCCTCTGCCCACCACTTGTTGCCACCACGCCAGGGACCATCCTCAAGCCCTGGCCTTCAGGGAAGAGGTAACAGGAGCCCAGAGCCGAGACCATGTGACGGCGCTGGCCCTTGCCACCGCCGTCCCCCCCACCCTGGCCCCAGGCCTGGCACCATGATGTTCCGAGACCAGGTGGGCATCCTCGCTGGCTGGTTCAAGGGCTGGAATGAGTGTGAGCAGACAGTGGCCCTGTTGTCGCTTCTGAAGCGGGTCACCCGCACCCAGGCCCGCTTCCTGCAGCTCTGCCTGGAGCACTCCCTGGCGGACTGCAATGACATCCACCTGCTGGAGTCAGAGGCCAACAGTGCTGGTGAGTCTCCACCCCCAGAGGTGGGAGCAGGAGGGAGACCTGGAAGAGGAACACCTGTCAGATGGCTGAGGAGGCCTACCCAACAATGGTGCTAAGACATGTGGGCTCTAGACTTGGGGAGTCCCTGAGGAACTGCCCCTGACCTCCCCAGTTATCGTGGGTCACCTGGGGCTTTGTTGCCAGATATCCTCAGGCATGGAATGAGGGGCTCCTGTGGGAAGGCAGTAGAAACTGGAAACTACCCATAGCAAAGGAAGGATCACGTAGGGTAGCTTCTCTGAGCAACTCAAAGGAACAGACTAGTCATTACTTATGAAAGGGGGATTGAAGGTGAGCAATAATTCATTTCTTAAGCTCCAGGAAATTAGAACTAGGAAGGTATTTTAGAATTGTTTCAGATTTGTAAGTCATCTTATATTATCTGTAATACCTGAAAGATAAATTGGACCTAAAGCATAAACAACTTCAAGAAAGTTTTGAATTTAGGTATAGTTCATATCAGTTCCCTTAACACTCAGTAGAGAGGGGCTCTGTGTCCCATGAGATTGGCATTGGGGTGGATAAGCCAGATTTCTCTAGAACCTCTCCCTAGGGCCCTGGGCAGGAAAAGGAGTCAAGCCAGAGAACCATCTCAAGAGGCTCTACTGAAGCCATTCTGGCCTTCTGGGTCCCCACAGGCCTGGATGAAGAGCTGTTGTCCTTGGTGACAAGTAGGAGGTATGGAGGCCAGTAAAGAGATTGAGTCGTGTGCACCTGAAAGCTAGCTGGAGAGGGAGCCCATATAAAGTATGTTTAGACCCTTCCCACTTTCTTTCCCATAATAGCAGTTCACACTGACCCCTTGCAGCAAGCCAGGTACTGGCTTTACTTGTGTAGTAACTTTGAAAGCATTGTTCTTTGGTGGCTGTAGGGTCAGACTGTCTAGGTTTAAGTCCCAGTTCTGTCACTTGCCATTATAACCAAGTAACATAACCTTTCTAAGCCTTGGTTTTCTCATCTTTAAACTCAAGGTGATATTTGTGCCTACCTTCTAGGGTGATTGTGAGCTATGAGACTTGTGCCTGGCATGTAGTAAACACTCAGTAAATGTCACCTTGTTTTTATTGTCACTCATTCAGTCCTCACAACAACCCCATGAGATAGATATTGTCATTATTCCCATTGTATAGGTGAGGAAATCATCAAGGGCTACTTGAATTGGGATTTAGGGAGCCACAGAGCTGCCTGGCTTCTCTCATCTCCACAGGCACACTTGCCTTAGAAACCGTCACCTTTATTTTACAGGTCACAGAAGCTCTATGGTTATAGGAGAAGACAGTCCCTCAGGCCAGGAGTCACACCAGCTTAAGTCCCATTCCAGTGGGATAGCAATAACCCAGCTTGGCTGTAGCAGGCCCAGAATTCAGCCATTTGGTACCCCATCTGCCCTCCCCACCAGGGAGAACTTTCCTGTGCTCTAGCGGCAGGAGCAGGAGTTCAGTTGTAATATGGTTCTGCCCCCAGTGTGGAGGTTCCTTTGGGGCAGGTTTTATACCACTTTGTCACATCCCCAGCACCCCATCTTGAGCAGGCAATTGTATGAGCACTGGGTGCCAATCTTAGCTATATGTCAGATTCACCACAGCAAGTACTACTGTTTGTTTATTAGAGCATTTTTTGTTTTTGTGTTTGTTTTCAAAATTCGTGGTAAAATCAAACTAGATAAAAGGTGAAAAGTCAAGTCTCCCTTCCAGACCTCTATGTTTCCAGTTTGTGTGTATTCTTTGAGATATTCTGTGCAGGTATGAGCACAGCAACATTCTGCCTCTGGCTTTTTCATTGTTTTGATTATTTTAACACATAGAACACTATGCATATTAACCAGTTTGCTTTTTTCCTACTTAACAGTATAATGAAGATCATTCTATATTTAACACAGGAATGTATACCTCATTGTTATTAATGGCAGCTTGGTAGTAAGACTAGGAAATGTTTATAGAGCCCTACCTGTGTATCAGACAGTACATTGCCTTACTGTTCATTTACGCTCACAACAGCTCTGTGATGTAGGTCGTACTATTTCCTCATTTTACAGATGTGGAGACTGAGGTCTGGAAAGGTTTAGTTACTTGCCCAGAGTCATACTACTAGTCAGAGGTGTAGTTGGAATTTGACTTTAGAGCTCTACTGAACGCAATTACTCTTTGGTCTTGCTCTTACAAACAGTGCTATTATAATGAGTACCCTTTAAGCATCTCTAGGATAAATTCCTAGAATTCTGTGGGACTTCTGTGTTTGAAATTATGTTCATTTACAATATTTGTCGCTGCCCTCAAAGGACTTGGTACACTTTATACAAAGAATCTGAGGCCCATCCAAGACAGTTTGCATTGATATGTCAGAGGTGATGTCTTAGTTAGGAATGAGAATTGCTGTGGAATGACTGGACTAATGAATGAATAGATTATCAAGATTTTATCCTCAGTCCCATGTCAGATGGTGAGAATGTAATAAGCTGATAGTTAGGTGAATGGAGATGTAGGGAAAACTGAGAATGAGAAAAGAAAGGGAGGGCCATGGTATGTTCCAGAGTTAGCAGGAAGCCTAACAGGATTAGGGCAAAGCATGACTAGAGAGAAATTCAGTAGGGTCTTGCTTGAATGCCTCTTTCCTAAGAGGTAAATTTTGTAGGGCCTTGAATACCGCTTTCCTAAAAGATGTGGGGGCTCCAAGACTAAGGAGGTATTTATCTCCTAACTCACTCTCACCCTTAGGTAGAACAACCACCCTACTTTATTTGTGAAAGAAGGAACTACTTCCTAAGCCTAGAGGCTCGCCTTGTAAAAAAGAGCTGTATGCATCCATTGTTATTTCTCCTCTGCTCATATGGCCTTCCCACTCCCTTGTGTTTCCCAAACTTACATCATGACAGAATCACCTGATGGGGGAGGAGGTGACTTAAAATTCAGATTCCTGGGCTCTTTACCCAGGCCCACTAAATTAGAATCCTGAGGGGTTGGTCCTGGGGACAAGTACTCAGGTTCTTTTGCTGACCAGGCAGTTTGAAAGATGAAGCCCTACTGGATGATTCATTTGTCATGGAACACCCAGGAGTTCCAGATCCAGCTCTTCCACTTACACCTCTTGAGACCTGGGCCAGCCGCACCCCTCTTGGGCCTGAGGATCACATCTGGACAATTAAAGAGGTTGTTGTAGATACTCTTTCAGTACCTTATGGGCTCTGAAAGAATGTGCCAAAGAAGGCAGAGTTGTGGCTCTACATATTACTTTGTTTGGGAGCCCAGCACATTCTTCTAAAGCAGTGCTTCTTAGTACTTTATGAGATGGACCCTCAGAGAATCTGTCCCTCCTCCCCACCGAGATGTACACCTTCGCCACAAACTAAATCTTGACTTCAGTCAGTCTACCAATTTCCAAATAAGAGCTGCCTATTACAGAGTCTAGGTTCTTCAGCTTCAGGTCCCTTCAGACAGGAGAGCTGAACAATGAGGGAGGTCCTCTGCTTTTTTTCTGGGTTTATAGTCCATGTCTCACTGCCTCCCCCCGAACCCTGCTACTTCCTCCAGTTCTACCAGGGAGATCCTGGATTCAGGGTTGGGTTTGGATCAGAGCTGTACACCTGCCCATCTCCTCAGGAAAGGTGGGGAATGCAGAAGGCTTGATTTAGGCAAGTGGGTCCTAACTCTGGCTTCATATCAGAATCACCCAGGCTCTTTTTCAAATGAACCAGAGGCCTGGGTCTTCTCCCCAGAGATTCTGATGTTTTTTAAGCTCCCTAGTTGGCTTTTGCCTGCATCCAGTGAAGAACCCCTTGTCTTGATGCTGATGCTGATTCTGAGTGGATCTAGAAAGGTGATGAGGGTACTATTGTATGACCTGTGGGGGCAGCTCTTCCTCTCCAGCAACTGGAAAACCCCTCAGCACAGGCAGCCAGCCTCAGTTTCACGGAAGGAGAATCTGAACAGGCAGGGAGAGTCCCCAGGTTGCCCCTTGTTGTCATCTATGTTCCTTCTCCCAGTGCTGTCTTCCTTTCTTGTTTGGAGTTACAACAGTGATCCTGTCTCTCTTTTTCCCTGATGCCAACTTGGACCAGAAGGGTGGGGCCAAGGAAGGTGAAATCTCCTTCCCTCCCTGGTATTATAGCTTCTTGGGTCACATTTCCTGCATTTCTTTCCTCCTCCTGTCCTCTGAATCAGAGTCCCCATATCCATCAAGGTTTAAGCACCTCCCTCTCTGGCTCACTGACTCTGGGTGGGGAAACTGAGGTGGGGGGAGCATTGCTGAGTGAGTCACAAGAGCTCAACTCTGATGACTCTACGCTCCCCTTTCAGACTCTACTGACACAGTTCATCAAACAAAAATGTGAGCCCCTGGCCTGACCCCCATGTTTGTGTGAGCAGGAGTGAGGCAGAGAAGGGGGCATGTTTGGAGCCAAATCCCAGCCTTTCTAACTGGTGCCTGAGGCTGCCATAATTATTGCAGCAGCCCAGCACATAAAAATGGGTTTGTTCCTATGGTAGTCTCCAAGATATATTTGGTTCCTGTGATTTGCCAGGACCCAGGGTCATGACCTACTTAACTCTGGTCACCTGACCAAAAGGGCACTTGTATGCAGTCTCCCTCATCTTACAGCTTGGTAAGGAGTTGGCTTCATGACATTCCTCAGTCCCCACCCCCATCTGCCCAACTCCAGAATTTCATCATTGCTTGTTGTGCTTCTAGCTCCAGAAGAACCAGAGACATGTGTGCTTTGGTAAATAACTGTGTGAAATTTCCCCACCCCTGTTGGGAATTTTAAGGAGGAGGCTCAGATGTGCCCTCAGATGTGAATTGTTCCCCTCAGTCCCAAAACAGCATGGGCTGTAGGTCTTCAACCAGGACTAGCAGTAACAGTTAAAATATTTGGAACACTTTACACATGTTAAATGCTGGGCACAGTTGTCTCATTGAATTTTCATTATATTCCTGTGATGAAGGGGCTTCTATTACCTCCATTGCAC